ATTTCGCAAAACGACATAAAAAATCAATTTTAATCTTTTCACGGAAAAATTTGAGCTTGTAAAATGAGTAAATAGAAAATAGTTTTGAAACTTGCGGAAAATCTCCGTGAATTGATAACTATAATCCTGATGGATAAGGAACATGTATTGACACTGATTTCAGATCACTTCTGTTGAGAGTGGTTGCTGTTGAAGCGCGTGATTCTTTTGCAGAATCAAAGTGAACACACAGCGAAGTTAATATTCACAATAAAATGAAATTTTTTCCATATCGAGATATTATTAATAGACATGTATAACAAAATATACATGCTCCTATTTTTACAACTAAGTTAATTTTTACCCCTGTCGCGATCCCCCGAGCGAGATAAACTCCTTGATACGCACGAGAGAGTCGCGTACGGCCTGCATCCGACTTTCCTACGTGCGATATAACGTGAGAGCGCGGCTCGGCATGTACACTGCCTTACGCCATCCCGTTCCTCCTCCGTCCCGTTCGTTTCTATGAACGACGCGGCGCGCGTGCGAATGCATCGCACGATCGCGGAAAACGGACGGGTGTGTATGACGCGCGTGAGTACGTCAGTGAATGAACATGCATGAACGACCGTCGTCACGTATCTGCGCGTAGGGATGCGCTCGGCTCGCGCCGCAACGGCTTGAAATCGCGAGAGTCGCAAAGAAGCGAATTCTCGCTCTTCCTCTCGTTCCCTTCCTCCTATGCCCGCTATCTCTCTCCCTCTCTCTCTCTCTCTCTCTCTCTCTCTCTCTCTCTCTCTCTCCGCGAGCCCTCTTGCAATGATACTCGCAATTTACGCCGTCAATTTCGTCCTCGTCCTTTTGCGTCCGCGAGCATTTGCCGAAATCACCGAAATCGGCGAGTCGCTCCTTCGCCACATTGTTGCAATTTGCGGTAATGATTACTCGCGCGGCGTATTCCCGTTGGCAGCCGATGTCGGAAATTATACGCTGCGCTGGTGTTGCGTGCACGAAAAGAATAATGCGCGACTCGCGCGTTATTACATCGGCAGCAACCGATAACTCGTACGGGATGTGAAGAGAAAAGAAACGGGAGGGGAAAGAAAGGAAGGAAAGCAAAAAAGAAGAGAGTAGGGGGGAGAGCCGACGTGGGCGTGCGGGGTTATTAGAAGCGGTGCTTGGCGCTGCCGAGGAAGCGGTAATTGAATCCGCTTGCTATCGCGGAAGTATCTATCGCGATTCCGCTCGCGAGATCCGGCATGCAACGAGAGAGAATGGCACACTAGCCTACAATTCGCGCACAGGGAGCAAGCACTCGAGTGTTCCCCGAGACATTGCCAGGATACCGGAATTCGCCGTTCCGTGCCGTCAGCATCGGAGATTTTCGCAAAACTCCGTCTTACGCGCGCCTGTCCGCCGGCCCGTTCCTCGTTATGCAAAACTGCGGCGCCGGCACGCCCAGCGTGACAAATCTAATTTAACGCGCGTCAGCGTCGTGAATTTCTAATTCACCACGGCGATTGGTGGCTTCATATTCAATTGATTAGTGAGAAAATCGATTTCTCCCGTGAGTCGTCACGGGAACATTTCGATTGTCTTTCAAGACTAGGAATAGGCGATTCTTTAATAAAAATCGACTTTCCCCAGACAACATAATGTCTAAAATCGGGACATAAGACATCTTAAAGATCGTCTTTAAGACGATTTACGTATAAATGTCTTTAAAGATTATCTTTAAGACGTCTTATGATTTTAGACATTATGTTGTCTGGGAAAAGTCGATTTTTATTCAAGAATCGCCTATTCCTAGTCTTGAAAGACAATCGAGATGTTCCCGTGACTACACAGACCGCTCAAGGGAGAAATCGATTTTCCCACTAATTAATTGAATATGAAGTCACCAATCGTCGCGATGAATTAGAAATTCACGACGCTGACGCGCGTTAAATTAGATGTTGCCTGAGTCTAGTTGACCTTGTATCGTAATAATCAGAACCCATTTACTACAGGAAGAATGAATTGAAAAACATCGATTTGTGTAAGAAACAATCGAGTCTCTCGGGAATCAAATCACACATTCCTACTCAGGACCGCGTCCTGCGCGAGTTCATGCGGATTTGCGCGCAAGAATTTCAACCGCTCATTGAGCTTCATTGCGGTGTTACCACCACGGTAGGCTGTAGTTAATAAATCCGCTACCCGCGCGCACCATTGTATTTGGAGCGAGCGTAATTTCGATATTTCCGGTGATACGCGAGCGCGCTTATTAGCAGCCGCACGCTATATAGTTGAGGAGCGTGCACGCGGTACACATACTTTCGCTCGCGTTACGAAATCGCTTAAATATTTTCCGAGCACCCACATGCCGATGCGCGGGCGTCCTGGCGCCGTTGACGTGCGAGGTGCGTGCTCCGGGTGCGCGGTTGCGTGCGAGGATTTCTTGCAATTAGGAACCATCGCCGGGCGAAGTCGGAAACGTAGGTCGCGTGGGTAAAAATCGGCAATGCCGGGTGCCCGCAGGGCAGTCGACTCGTTCCGCCGCGCACGTAAAGATTGCAAAATTTTACCGTTCTCGCGAAGCAGCGCAGCGATGCTCCGTCTTCTTCGGTCGTCGCCGCGTCTTTCTTTTTTTTTTTCCTCTCCTTCTTTCACCTCTCGTGACGCAAAGTATTATGGAAAAACAACGCTCGCGGAAATGTTGCGATATCGTGAGACAGCAGCACGACGGGAGTCGAACTTTCGTGCTGTGTAACGTTGTCGATCATCGTGTCGGCGGTGGAAGTAACTCGAAGAACATCCTCGCGATCGTGCGATTTCGCATGGAGCACGCTCGATTGCGCAACGTTTTAAACACGTTTCTTTTCTGATGAAGTTACGAGCGCGTCGAGCGAGTCACACTTGCGAACCTCTGCTCATGGGTTGTGTAGTACTCTTACAGAAAGGTGATCTTACAATAATGATTAATCACTTCTCGGTGATTCAGTGATTATTTGGCCAATTACTATATACTATATAATTACTATATATGGAAGCTAAAATACAGTTGGAGTGTAAATATTTTAATCTGTGTTCATTTCATAGATATAACATATAATAAAGATACTTGTGTTTTCCTGTATTAGTTGTAGTTCTGACGTCAGATGTCTCATGTGTTCTCGAGTCGAAATTTTAGTTCTCAACAAGTCCTACTCAACACTTTTAAATGGCAAGAAGCGCACAAAATGTCACTTGTAGATTCTGAAGAGGATCTTTCAATAAAGTTTGTAGGTTAAATAGAATTTAAACTGGTTGATATAGGCTTCAGAGTATCAAAGTGGGCGTTAAATGGAATATTGAGCTCAGAGGTAGCAGCAGAATTTCAGTTCGGGTTGTCACTTCGTGGCCAAGACGGATTACCACACAGGCTCATGAGTAGTAACTCGCAATCGTTGCCATCTGATACGCTTTTAACTCCATTAGAAAAAATTTTGTTTCGCAAACGAGTTTACTGCGACCTCCACACGCCGAGAGGATATTCGACGTTTCGACAATTATTAACACCGACCACCCGTGTTTTAATTTAGAAACGCGCCTTCAAATTCGATATTTTTACCACGGCCACCGCTGGGAGAGATGTCCGTTTTGAAATTCAAATGAGCCAAAGTGCGCGCCGTAATTTATGATTAATCCGCGGCGATTTAAATTAATCGCGGAATGGCTAAAAAGCCGCACAGGCGAAAAAACGAACGAGTGGAACGCGTGCACGTTCCCTGCGATATCTCTCGTGCCGGAGATACCGAAGGCTTCTATTTGACTTTTTAGCATCCGTATTCCTCGTTAAAAGCTGTCATCATTCACGCGCTCCGGAGACCCCTGACTCGGAAATAACGTTATCTATCAGTTTCATCAATCACGCCGCTGAGTGCGCCTCTATTAACGCGACTCATTACTCCTCTGTCACCCGAGAGTTAACTGCACGCTTACATGTCTCTAAACTCGCCCAAAGGTTAAATAACCAGCGGTAAGGAGTTTCCCTTGGATTTTATCTGGCAGCCGAGACACGCCTAGCCTCCGATCTTACAAGCTCGTACTTATTACTAGATAATGTAATTCTTCCCACGAACAGAGCAAAATTAGCCTAATGTCAGTAACATACAGTAATCTATGTTAACCACAACTATTTGCTCGCATATATCATTAGCAAGTATCCATCACCAGGATGCATTGCGCGATACTGAAGAATCTCCATCGAGATTCTATACGTTTGAATCAACTCTTATGACTGTGATAAAACGCAGAGAAATTTTGCACAATATATAGGATGTATGACAATTCATGACACACTCGTTGTGCAGGTAGAACTCATCGAACTGAACACAAATTCTTTTACCATGTCGCAAAAAATCACGTAAAATTTTGAATTATTAATTAAAGAAAATTGGTAAATGACCATGCGCGATACGATGGATAAGTTGTGATGGCAACGTCTTTTGACGTGTACTTATAGATTAGATAAAACTGAATAAAAAGTCCTCTACTCTGATCATCGATGAAATGATCCCTTTACAGATTCAACCATAAAACATTTCTTTGATTTATTTTAAAACTTGATCTACAATGTACTCTTTACTTTTTTTTCTTTATCTCTTTCCGACTTAAATCTTAAGCCGGAGAAGATAGAAAACAAGAAACAGGAAGCGGTGGATACATTGTAGGTTAAAAGAATACAGAAATAATGTGTGCGCCGTCAAAATCTGAAGACGACATTCGGATCAATTGTGAAGTCTCGCAGACTCGAAGTCGATACCGAGGATATGATTCAGCAATACGATTGTAGTATACAGATCGGTTAATTGATAAAATGTGCACGTCGCATTTAATTTGCATGCGCGCATGCATCTCATACATATGTGCAAACGCTCCGCCCGATTCCGTTATACTCGCGCGTAATCGCTTAATCTATTTTACGCGGCCGTCTAATCTCGGCGATTTTATCTCGGCATGCGTCGAAGCTCACTGGTTTTAATTTTCTGCCCACTTAGGTGTATCCCGGATGGCGGGGACGTCGGTTACACGATGACGGAGCTGCAACCGTCGCCGCCAGGATATCGCGTTCAGGATGAGGCCCCAGGCCCACCTTCCTGTCCCCCGGGGTCCTACAAGTACGCGAGCCACGGCCACGGGAGCGAGACTGCCAATTTCAAGAGTGCCACGTCATATTCTCAGGAAGGCTATGGCCTTAAGCAGAGCCCGCCTCGACCGGTGGCTACTAACGAATACTACCGTCGCAGAAACGACGGACGCAGGTCCGGCGCGGAGAACGATCACGAGGGTGGCAACGGCGGCAAGAAGGCTGCAGCCGCGGTTGCCGGTTACAACGACAGTCACAAGAAGAATACTCCGGGCTATAAGAACGACAGCGGGTACGTATACCTTCACGCTCTTTTCTTCATCTTCTCCATCTGTCTTCGTAGAAGAAATAAAACATAGCAGGCCTATTCTGTAACTTTTAATGATAGTGCCGTTGTACAGATATAATACATAGTAGAAAAGCTGCGCAACGACATACGAAGATGATAATATGTCGTTGCGCAGCTTTTCTACTATGTATTATATCTGTACAACGGCACTATCATTAAAAGTTACAGAATAGGCCTGCTGAGCACATATTATGAACTCGTTCGAGCAGGGAACGTATCATAGACTTGTTCGGGATCAATTCTGGTCGGAATAATTCCGTTTCCCGTAGAAAACATAATAGAAATGTAGAAAATAACTAAAAGATTCCGTTCGGAATCGACTTCGATATAATATATAGTAGAAAAGCTGCGTAATGGCATATTATGCACTAAGAGAAATTATGTAATAAAAAATTAAGGCTCCTGGGGAGTCGCATCATCCATCTCTTTTTAATGACGTCAGAAGCGAGAAAACGCTAAATGCTAAAAATTCCTGCAAAATACGTCGAGATAAACAGATATATCCACAAAACGACATTCGAGATCGATTAAGTACACCTCTAAAATACTCCGTACACTTTCCTTTTGTTCTAACAATCAACAGATTATAATTATAAAATAAATGTGACGTGCAATCGTCTTTTCTAACCTAATTTCCTCATTATCTTGTCATATTAATTTTCCGATTATCTATTGATTTTTAGAACAAAAGGAAAGTGTACGGAGTATTTTAGAGGTGTACTTAATCGATCGCAAATGTCGTTTTGTAGATATATCTGTTTATCTCGACGTATTTTGCAGGGATTTTTAGCATGCGTTTTCTCGCTTCTGACGTCATTAAAAAGAGATGGATGATGCGACTCCCCAGGAGCTTTAACAAATGAATATTCCCGATCAAATTCTGATCAATTTTATGTCCAATCAGGATATCCGATTAAATTTCAAATCGGATACTTTCGATCATAATTTCAGATAAACTAACCAAAAACTTATGAATATTTCTCCTCGGTTGTTTCCTGATCGGAAAAATGCATCAGTATTTTGATCGGAAATATCCGTTTGTTAATTTTTTATCGGATAAGTTCTCTTAGTGCAGGATAGAATGGATCTAGTTTTTCCGTATATTGTCGAGACGATAAAAGCATGGTATAACAAAGCGACGGAGGGGATACCGCTCGATTATCGCGCGAGTTACCGCTGAACTCTCGTCGAGTGTGCCATAAATTATGCAGTCCGTACACATCCTGGTGTAATAAAGTGGTTCAATGACATCGCGCGGGAGCAGCGCGCTCGTGAGCGCCGCGTATTACGTGTGATTCATCGGCCGGGACGCTAATAAACGGACGATCTTGCATCCGCGCGTAATTGTTTCCAGGTAGTGGAGCGTTGCGTCACGCGCGTCGTCGTGCTATTTCTGTCGTGGTGTGCACAGCGTGCGCGACGTTTTCATACCTGTCTCCGTGTCATTAGGTACAGCGAGAGCCTCGGATTCGACAGCTTCACGCTGCCTCTTAACGAGAGAGACGAAGCCTCGCCACCGCCAACGCCGCCAGTCAGGGATGCCTCCAGTCTCAAGGGCGTGTGTTACGGCCCGGGACACGAGAAGTATCCGTCGTGGCCGAGTGCGCCCGAACGACACCCCGAGGAGGATATTCACAGCTCGGGACACAGCGGCTCGCACCGCTCCAAGTCCTGGACCGACCACACCAACTATCCGAAGGAGAAGCCTGCCCAGTACACCAGACCACACACGAAGAGGCCCAATCCTGCGTTCACGCAGCAGGTAACTGATAGAAGCCCGTCTGGGTTCCTTACGTCGTATTGTTTTTATACGCGAAAGGTAGCGCCGCGTGCCATCGTAGCGCCGCAATTCCCTGCAAATTGGATGCGCGAGAGATATATCGTCGTATCACAAGTCTATCACTCCTATATATTGAGAAAGAAGCAATATCTGAGGAGTGAAAATTAGATTTACTCGGTGTGAATACTAATAATATATATTTCCTTATTGGGAGCACAAATTAGTTCGGTCCGTTTCTTTGTGGTCAAAAATGCATTTATTTCAGAACAAAATGAATTAACAGATTAATCAAAGTATTGTCCATCGCTGGCTACTACTTTTTCCCAGCTCTCAGGCAATTTTCGAATTCCATCTCGAAAAAATGTCTCGTCTTTTGAGACGATCCAAGATAGGAGCCAATTTTCGATTTCTGCGAAAGAAGTGAACCGGTGACCTGCCAAATCGTGCTGCATCCGTCGGAACAACCAGTAATCAGAAGGAGCAATGTCCGGCGAATACGGCGGGTGCGGTAAAATATCCCACTTGAGCGTTTCCAAATAATTTTTGACGACTTTTGCGACATGAGGCCGAGCGTTATCGTGCAGAAGAATAACTTTGTCATGTCTTTGCTCGGATTCCGGCCGTTTTTCTCGTAATGCACGGCTCAAACGAATCAATTGTTGCGTAACTGCCAATGATTCTGCAAGCTCCTCTTGCGTTTGACTGGGATCTTTATCGAGTAATGCCTCCAATTCTTTGTCTTCGAATTTTTTTGGCTGTCCAGAGCGAGGCTTGTTTTCAACGCTGAAATCACCATTCTTGAAACGTCGAAACCATTCCCTACATGATTTATCAGTTGGAGCATTGTCATCATAAACTTCTACAAGCATTCGATGCGCTTCAGCTGCACTTTTCTTCCAATTAAAGCAGAAAACTAAAACCTCCCGCAAATGCTGCTTAGTTAATACAAAATATTCAACACAGTAAAAAACAGGGGTTTTGTATGAAACTCAAAGCGATATAAACTGAATATTATTGACAGATGTCTAACCTCTCTGAAACTATCAAAATCAGCTGTCACTATGAAACATTCATAACAGCCAGAGCCATCTTTTGAAAACGGACCGAACTAATTTATACTCCCAATATATTAATATACATATTTTTACACTGAGAAGATCTATTTTTCAACAAAGAAAATATATATTTTCTTAAAAGCCTAGCTTTTCATAAAACAAGTTATTCTACTTTACTTACAATTACTCTACTTAAACAAAATTTAAATTTGAGTAAATATAGTATGTTTATTACCCATTATTATCCATTATCATTGCCCATTGAATAAACGTAGATATTTTTTTCTCTCACAGTACATTTATATATATTTATATTTATATTTTTAATTTAATTATTACTAATTTATATTCACCATAGAAAGAATCTCTTTAGAGAATTTGATGCAATATTTTATACAAATGTTGGCATATACACAGAGCACTCGTAATTTTACACATTTTATTAAACATTAGCATCAATTATTAGTATGAGTATACACGTTTACGTGAGCAAGAGCTCGGCCAGAGTAGCCGTGACGATCGACGAGAACGAATGACGCGCAATACGAGTGGCTTAACGAGAAGCGCTTGTTTTATAATCCTCGACGATCAAATTACACTTGCGAAACATTTTAAGAGCTCCTTCTGCCACTCCGTCGTGATTTGCATCAGCCCGATTCCTGTCGCGCGCGATTCAGCCTTCCCGCCGTACTGTACATAGAATTCGCCGTGTCAGCCGCTCTCGATTGTCTCGCCGGTTGTGAAATCGAATCTCGTTTACATGACGTCGGAGTACTTCGGCGGTGTTAACGTGCCACGAGGTGACGGGCCTTATCGGTGCGATTCCCCCGCCGAATCGTAACGCGCGATTTCACGTCGTCGCCGTCGCCGCCGCACATCCGCGTGTTAAACAATTAAGCGAGCACGTATGAGCAAACCGTGCCATGTCGAGAATCGGGATCACCGCGGGGCAAGACCTTGGTGTGTACATATTGTGTGCTGCACCCTAAAACGGCGCACGCCAATTAATCTCCCACACCCGCACTCTCCTTTCTCTCGGTGACATAATCGTCGTGCTACCGGCTTCCCCAGAAAGTAGGTCGTGGTATTTCGTGGCGGTCCGACCCGCATCGCGCCTTAAATTCCGGTACGGTACGTATGGTAACTCCGGGTGTCCGGGACACGAGAAAAGAATGGGCCCAGGATAACGCAGGAGGAACAAAGATGCCGAGAGCGCTTCACGTATTTCTCTTTTCGTCTGGAGTTTCGTTAGATCATCGTGGTGTTTCCACTTCGAAGCGCACGTAGTCAGTTACCCTCGATGTATTTTCAGATTGGGTTCTTTTTACTTTTCCTCCCTGGCGAAGGGGAGAGACACACGAAGGAGAGAGAATTATATTAAGATCGTGAGTCATACGACAGCTCTCGGCTGAAAGCTAGAAGTCGTTACCTGCATAACGGGCGAACGCATTGCCGAGCGGTGTGTACAAATATTTCTTGATCGACGCAAGAATCTACAAGACTTTACTCGTTATCGTTCTTTATCTCACGCCATCGTGAGTCCTACTTTCGAGGCCGCGTCCGCGAGATACGAAAACTAACTTCGCCGTAAAAGTGCGCCCGGCGAGCGCTACTTTCCCTACTGATGCGTGTGCGATTCTCTTGGTTCCTGTTGCACATTGCAAAAATTGAATATCGCAGTTGAAGACGGTAATGGAGCGTTGCGAGAAGATCCCGGCTGAGACTTACGAGTCACGCAACCGAAGTAACGTCGAGGAAGAGCCGAGGCTGTGGCCGCGCGTAGATCGCGAAGGCAAGGCTCTAGGGGACGCGGAGTATGTGGTCCCGTCGCCGCCTGAACGGGAACAGCAATCTCAGACTTTGAGTCACGCTGACCTGGAGGCTTACGTAAGGAGCTACCAGGACCCTCAGGTGTCTCAGGTGAGGTTCGAGCGAAGGAACGAGATGCGATGCTCGATGATTGCTAATACTTAGCAGCTGCATTTTCTTCGTCGTGCTACGCGAATTTATGCTGCGTCTCGTTGCTCCTTAGGTGGACCTCTATCGCGAGACAACGCTAACGCAAGCAGGTCTGGAGGAGTACACGAGGGTGCAGCACTCTCAACAGGCCAGCTACGCGCAGTCTGAAGGATACCACAGTTACGTGTCCAGCGTGGACTCCACGACGAACACGCCGTTTCTCGACAGGTGAGAGATCGTCTTTACATATCGTCTCATTAACATTACGTAATGTAACGATCTTCGCGATGCTAACGAGAACTTACGCTTCTTGTCAGATTGAGAAGAGACAGTGAAGCGGTGGCGCAAAGGCCCGTCGCCTCTTGGGAAGACACCTCCCGAGAGGGAAGAGACAGCGTGGTGACTACGTCCAGCGGCAGCGCGTCCAGTAGTGAGACCTTAAAATGGCACGGCTCAATGTCGGATGTCAGCGTGTCGAGCGGCATGCCGCCTCGCCAAGGTGCCTCGGATCGATGGCATCACGGCTCCATGTCGGATGTCAGCAGCGTGAATGGCGGGATCATCACTCAGAAGACTAGTAACGGCTGCCACGAGAAGTGGCAGAGCTCCATGAGCGACGTCAGTACGTCCGGGATGGGCCTGACGACGAAGAGTAGACACAGCGAGAAATGGCCGGACAAGTGGCAAGTAGCCTCAATGAACGATCGGAACAAGCAGGTGCAGAGCAGACCTAGTTTGCCGGCGGTAATCGGCCATTGTGCTACGTCCGCGTCGATAAGTGATATCTGTCACACGTCGACCGTACGGGAGAGCAAGTGGCAGGAATCCAATATCGACGATGAGTCGTCGTTGAATGATAGGCCGCAAGCGAACCAGTGGGACAATTCGTCCAGAATCGAGAACGACAAGTACGCCCAACCTATGCCGCAGAGCCCCACGCGCCAACAAGTGGGATCCTCAAGCCCGCACAGCCCCGAGAACTGGAATCCCATTCATGGCTCGATGTCCGACGTGAGTCAAAGCAGTGGGGTTCAATGCAGCAAGCAGCTAATCGCTCACAGCGCGAGAGTGCAGACACCTCAGAGACACCATTCGGAAAGTGTGCTTTATCTGGATCGCGAGCGCAGTCAACGGAAACATTATCCCGTCGGTGTGACGCAGCAGGAATTCACGCAATCTTCGAGGTATCAATAAATGTGTCTTTTTATAATCTCATACTTTAAATCTTTCTCCGAAGTGGCCAATTTGCGAATTGTAATTAAACACAACGTTCTCCTTTTCCAGAATGACGCTAAACTCGCCGCAGCAACCACAGCTCTCAGTAGCCGAGCGCATCAGCGAACTGGAGAAGCAACAACAACAACAACAAATGCGTTACACCTATCTAGATCCGGAGAAACGTCACAGAGTGTCCGATCCCACTCTGAAAGCGATTCAGAAGAAAGCGTTATGGTCTTATTACGAAAGACACCATCAGGCGTCGTGGCGATCGGAACCCCAATTGGCCCAAGGCCCAGCGCCGACACCACAAAGTCCACCGCCGCAACCACCACCTCGACCAAGACCACCCTCTTCCAGAAGAGCGAGTTCCGCGTCGGATTACGCCAGCGGCACGTGGCGGGAAAACGCTGGCAGATCTCAGAACCAAGGAAACGGCGACCTGCCGAGTCCCAAACATCAACACAGCAACAGTTGCGGTAGTCTCTCCACGGATCTATTGGGTCCTGTGATAGTCGGACCGGCAATCTCGATAGATGATTGGGTACCCGAGAGACCACCGAAAAAACCACACCTAAAGAATGCCTACAACGAACGCATGCCCAGCCCTGACTTGCCACCGCCGTCGCCGCCAACGGTCACGGAGAACGAGGTCCACGATTGCGACGATCCGTTGCCACCTCCGCCGCCCGAACTCAGCGACGATTGCTTCGCGGAGACTTCGCGCAAGTCCAACGGCAATAGCAATAACAGCAACAACAGCATTCACCACCAGACGGAAGAAACAACAAAGATCAGTCGTGAAAGGTCATGCGAACGGCACAAATCGGAAAGACATTCCATGAAGAGATCGAAACACAGCGGTAAGAGGGATCACGATAAGCCCACGGGCAAATCCTCGCCGAATTCGACGAAAGCGTGCACGCAAGAACAAGAGCAACAGCAATTCGTGAGATCGTCCACGGCGTTGAAGCACGTGGACTCCGAGATGGTGTTGGAAAACGGCGTATCGGCTGGGTTCGCTACACACAGGATGGTAGCCACGGGACGATCCAGTCTCAGGTACCCCTCCACTCAGAAACTCATGGTGAACGGCAGGATAGCGCCGACCAGAAGAATATCCGAGGAGAGATCCTTTCCATCGAGGCCGCCGGCGCAATTGCCCGATCTTATATCGCAGAGGTACAGCGATTCCGGCAACCAGAGACCCGCACCGCAAGTGCCGGTGGAGCCGAGGATCATTCGACAGGAATCGATGCGAGTCGACAGTACGCGCGTCGACGCGTCCGGTTTGTTAAGAAACGACTCCAGTCAGAGATTAGAATCCTCCTCGGGCCAGAGACCTCAGCCTCAAGTGCCTAAGAACACGGACAAGAATGGCAATGCGAATGCAGCGTCGAGACCGAATTATCTGCCGGTGACGGAGACAACGAAGAGCCCGTCCAAGTACTTGAAGAGCGGAAATCACAGTTTCTCCATAGGCAGCCCCGTGAAAACGGGATACGAGGCCAGCTCGAAACTATTCCCCGCGGACTCGAGTCCGCAGAAGTACCATGAGCCACCGAAATACGTTCCTAATCATCATCAACGTCCCAACGACGCGACACAGAGGAATTATTACGCCCTGCCGCCGAAGTACGTTGATGTGCCGAAGCAGAAGCCTCAGCCTCAATGCCCGACGGAGAGGTACAGCAGCTCCGGATCCCCCAGCTCCCCGCCGCCGCCTTTGGCGCCGCGACAGAACACACCCGGCAGAAAGTCACTCCCGCCTCCACCGAGACCCGCTCCGTTACACGCTCATCAAGGGTAAGTTTAATCACATATTGTTTCATTGCGACCTTTCTGCGTTCGCGCGATATTACGCCAACACCATAGATCAACGCGAAAGAGCAATACATGGAGAAAACGGTTGTTATATTTACACTGAGAGAAATTATTCGACAAGAAATTAACAAACAGTTATTTCCGATCAAAATAGCGATGAGTTATCTGATCAGGACACATCCGAGAAATATTGGTTCATAATTTTTTGATTGGTGATTTTTTTATCCGATGAAATGCTATTATGATGACGGATTTATTTAATCGAATAGCTCCTGATCGGATACAAAAATTCATCAGTATTTTGATCGGAAATATCCGTTTGTTAATTTTTTATCAAATAATTTCTCTCAGCACATATATTCTATGGTTAGAGAGAAAATTTATATAATTTTTTAGATTAAATATTAAAAATTATTATATGCCCATTTATATAGTTCTCAAAACCACAGTTTTTATGATACATTTATTAACCTTACTATATAATATAATTTAAACTTTCATATAAAATATTTATACATATTAAAAATTTAAGTATTTACACTTAAAGACCACAACGATAAGATTAGAATTCCGGTAGGTCCTGGAATTAGTACTTTTATCTTAAGGTTGCAAAGTACAAACGCTCTCACGCGAACGTAGACGAGTAATGTTCAGTTAGTTTATCCTCATACACATAGTTGCCTTAACCAAAAGAATATTGCTGTCTCTCTGTTGCGGTCTGCCGAACAAATACTATGATTGAGAGATCCGTAGGGTTGTTTACGCTGTGCATCACCGAGAGTACCGCTTAAATACGTACGGACAGGCAGCAAAGAAAGTCTGTGTACCACTTTCAGAGTACTGCAGTTACTGCAATCATCTTGTATGCACAGGCGAAAGACAACATTAATATTTTATTATGGCAACTATATTTAAGTGAAGTGACATCCTTAATGTTTTCTTCGCGTATGAGAAGCAAAAAGTATTTTATTTCGTCTAAACCACGTATTCGCCGCGAGTTGTACACAGACAGTATCCGGAACACTATTACGCGTACCGTGTTATCCAAAACCGGCGGTCATATAAATCCCGACATGGAACGTTTACAACCGTAAGCGCCACCGCGACGTAAATTACGTCATTGGAAGACTCAATAGCCGCATTCACGTCCCCATAAAGTAGGGCTGTAAAGTGGTCCATTATTATCGTGGAAATCACAGCGAGAGGTAAAGAGAAAAAGCGTTAACGAGGCATCGGTCGAAAGAAACAGAGAGACGTTCGGTTGGCCGTTTTTGTTGACACCCTATCGGTGTCGCAAATCTCGGAGGATCGCAGTGCCACCACACTGATAGTTTGGCGAACTCGGACTATCCAAAGTCGTTAATTATCTTCTCGTTTGCTCGCTCGAGCGAATCGCATATATTACCATGGGATTATCATTGCGAATCTAACGGTACCCATTACCAGACTGATTTACGAGCATGTGACTTTTCCTGAATTACGTGCAATGCGGCTCTTAAACGACGTGTTCGAAACGAAAGAGACGATTCTCTCCCAGACCTCCCGAGCGACGTCGACGTGTGTCAGGAGCGCGGCAGATTTACCGACAACTCACGCATCCGTGAATCCAGTTCACGCGGAATCGGTATGTCAACGACGTTTCCGTGCGAAAACAAATCGCAAAAAGAAATAAATGTTTAGTATTTATAATTATAATCACATAGAGAAATAATTTTTATAACTTACGATCAAGGAAATCAAGTTTTTTTTTTTTATTAAATTCTATACTGAGAGAAATTGTTCGAAGAAATTAACAAAAGGATATTTTCGATCAAAATACTGATTAATTTTTGTATCCGATCAGGAAACATCCGATAAGAAATATCGGTTCGTAATTTTTTCATCGGTTTATTGGATGAAATGCCATTATGATCGGAAGTATTCGATTAAATTTAATCGGGTATATAAATTCATCGGTATTTTGATCGGAAATATCCGTCTGTTAATTTCTTACCGAATAATTTCTCTCAGTGAATTATTATGTTGATGATAATAACTTTATATACATGTTACGACTATCATTTTCATGTTAGAACAACCAAAAAATATGATTAGGATAAAAATAACTATAATTTAGATCAACTATTTTTTCTGTCAATGCGCGTTGCTCTCGTGCCAAAGATAATCCGAACAATCATGTATTTAATCGTGGACATTCTTATTGCTTTAGTCCATAAATATCCAAATAGCACAGACCTACAGAATATCCTAAAGACGCTCTGAGAACGTCTCTAAGACATTCCTTGGAGATCTTATGTTATTCAGGTGCGAATATTTAAATTTTTTAAAGATAATTCTAACATTTAAAAGAGAAGCGTTTAGTACATAAATATCTAAACAGCACAGACCTACAGAATATCCTAAAGACGCTCTGAGAACGTCCCTAAGACATTCCTTGGAGATCTTATGTTATTCAGGTGCGAATATTTAAATTTTTTAAAGATAATTCTAACATTTAAAAGAGAATCGTGCGTTAGATATAAATGCGAATAATTATTGAAATAGGAGGACAATGAAGTTTGACAGTGTCAGACAAAATTTTATCTAATCTTATAACGCACGCAGTAAATTTATTTTCCTCGTCTAATAAAGTATATCCCCTTCTATTGATTACTCACACTAACGTCCAGCGCATAGGAGGAGAATTCTTATGAGTCTCATAGCTCTCTCCAATAATGGTTATATACTACGACAATCCAATATATATTTTATATTGGAAATTTAAATATTTGTATTTAAAAGGACCGAAACAATAAGGATGTCCAGAATTGTGTTCAAATATCTACTTCTATGTTAAGGTCACGAGGCGCAAATGCCCTCACGCGAACGTAGACGAGTCACGCTCGTTGAGCCGGGATCAACGTATGCGGGAACGAGTTATTAAGTTCCAACGAGCGCGCGACGTCGAACGCATTCTCGAAAGGCAAGAAGTCGGGCAAGGACGATTTCGCGCGGCACGCGTGTTATTGTGTGAAAAGCAGAACAAGACGTCTCGCCAGGGGGAGCGACGATGACGACGGCGAAGCGCGCTCTGTGACCCGCCGCCTCTTTATTCATCGATCCATGATTTTTCGGGTCACGGAGCACTGGGGAATTGTCAAAAAAAAAAGACAAAAAGAAAGAAAAAGAGAGAAAGAGAAAGAGAGAGACGGAGAAGTGGAGAATCCAAAACGGCTCGCGGGCGAATAGAACAGAAAGATATTGGCAGTGCAAGAGAGCGAGCGCGACCGAACAATCGCGACCGATAGTAATTGCACGTCGAGTCGAAGTACTGTCGGCTTTTCCAGTTGGGATACAGGATGTAGGCTCGATCTCACGGGGCGATAACTCTTTTCACCTTTCTTTTGTTTCCTTCTCGCTCTGATTGGGTGACTACCTGCCTCCTGCAACGCACGAGCGGTCGTCCAACTACCCGATACGCACGCCAACGAAGATGTTCCGAACGCACGACACGGTTCGACGAACGAACATTTGACTTGCGCCGACCTTCGACAGGAAGGAGAGATTATCTGGTGGAAGAAGAGTGCCAGGAACCGTTGCGGACGTTTCTCCTTTTTCTGTCTCCCTCCATCTCTTTCTTTCTCTCTTTCCTTCTCTCTGTCTCTCTCCGTTGCGATCGCGCTGGATATTCGAGAGCGCGACGGCTTAACCTTTCGAATAAACCAACCCACGAGACAGAAATGTCAGAAAAAAAGATTGCCGTGTGCCACCACGGGCGTGTTGGTCTGTTCGTCGGTGCTCGATCATGTTCCCCACGGCGCCAAGCGATGGATAGCGAGGTGCGGCACCACGGAATACGCCTCGCGATAAATTAATAACGAGCCCTGACAGTGATCTCATATTTATGTCGACATTTAAGCGATGTACCTTCGCCGACGTTTTCATTAATTGTGCAAATTTTGCGCAGCTCTGCTCGTGAGGAAATTGTTGCGAAATTAAATGCGCGCGTGCGACCTCGCGATTCACGACCTCGGCGGAGAAGTTACGTGACGATAAGCGCTTTTTTATCGCTTCCACGCAAAAATCGACAGGAACGTCCGCGCGGCCTGGCACGGACGACCCTCGCGCGCACCTTTAATTGCGATTCAGATTTATGCAATTGGCGGACGTCCTTCCATTTCTCCACGTTCGGGAGTTACGCGACGACCCGCGGCGTTATCGCTAATCCTCGTTACGCGAAACACGAATCGCCGAGTCGTTTTCACTTTTCGTCGCGTCACCTGCGAGCGTTGCACCTGCGGCGCGATAATTGGCCCGTGAATTCCCGCCGGCCGAGCGTTATGGGCGCGATGTTTTCCTCACCAGTCGGATGGATTCGGGAGGCGCGCTGAAGGGGAAACATTGATTTACAAGTCCAGTCGGCAGTAGTAATTCAAACAGCGTGTTGCATTTGCCAATTAATATATAGAGTATATTGGTTAGCAAACTCATTCATTCGGAGAAATGATTAAATACGCTGGTATTCCACTTAACACTTCGCGTAAAATCATATTTTTTGAGACATACAAAACTGTCTGGATCCGTCAGACTCGGCCAACATTGCGCTACTATAATTTTATTGAAAATCGATATTTTGGACACATTTTTTTTCTAAAGATAAAGAAAATTATAAGATACATTGACAGAAAAAAATATTTGAAAAATGAAAAGTACTTCTTTTCGGTAAAAACCAATGACATATTCACCTAAATCTATAAATAAACAATAGCTTTCATGAAAAGATATACATATACCATTGAAAAAGTTATTTTTGTATTTGGAATTAAAATATTTAGTACATGCGATTTGGTTGGTATTACCATATTTTATTTGTGCCAAGCAAAATGAATTGATGAGAAAACAAAATACACAAGCGGTGATTAAACTTTTTGGTTGTAATTATCAAACATTTTGTTGATCCTACTTTAATCAAATTTTCGTTTCGACAATAAAATCTTTTTTTC